CACCGCGCTGCACTGCAGTGCTCCCTGTTGAACCCAAAGCTTGACAGCCCAGATGTTCTCACCTGTCGGAGGCAGAATGCGAGCTTATCTTCCGGCATGGGCCCGCACCGTGCAGAGCGGCGGCAAGCAAACCGTCGCGCATGTCGAGGTTCGCCAAAGGAATGCCGGTGTCAAGCTTCGGGCCAGGCCCGCAAAATCTCGCTCTCTGTCTGCGATCGATCGCTAACGTTGACTCGTATACATACTAGCGACTTTGCATGTGTGTACGCAACGCATTGATTGGTCGAGCGCGATTACATCTGCCTGGGATACTGGATCACCGCGCGACTGTGCGACGTCGCAAGGAGTGGACATGTCGTAAACAAATTCGGTTGGCAGCGCAAGATTTATACATTCTTCACGACACTGTGACAGGTTGCATTGATGGTAACGTGGCGAAACTTTCGCCAATGGGCTACTCCGCTTCGCGTCGATTCCGCTAAAACAAAAGCTCGACACCGACTAAAAACGCGCCCTAGATCTTCACCATACTGTACGGATGACATAGGGACAGTCGTACGATGCTGAAATGTGGGATCCGCGCCACGTGGCGCAGCCGCGGCTGTCCAGCTAGCCCGTATTTGTGCGCGGGAAGGGGATTCAAATGCGGGCGGGAAATTTTATTTCGCGTGCAGGGGAAGGCGGCAGGCGGTGCATCCGCTAGGAAACGCTGGAGGAACTCAGTCAGATGCGTTGACATAGGCGGCTAACCAGTTTACTAGTTCTGTCGTTTCAGGCATTGTTCGACTTGCAAAGTTGCTCACAAACACCTTCCATCCAACGACCAACAACCCTTCTGAGGAGTCGAGATGAAGCTTGAAGCCGACCAGGCTCCCTGAGTACTGTACACGAGGGGGTGCTGTGGATGAAGGGGTTGTGTTGTGTGGTGTGGATCAAGGGTTTGTGAGGTGGGTGTAACACGGTATCAAACTGAAAAACGATGGATTGCGTCGGTTCGGCTCGGTCTGGTCCTTCTAAGCGAATCAAGCATCAACCAATTCACATGCTGTACTGACGGTGTTTGTTTGTTTCGTTTTTTTCCCACACATTCCCAACCGCAACGTCCTTTCCCTTCGCTGTCTCTCAACAATGGTTACCGCGATTCACCGTTCAGTAACATTTTGAGTTGTTTGAAACCACTGACACAGGCTCTTCGAACATCTCGTTCAAAATGCCCTCATGAACCCGAATATATGCTTCCTCATTCCCTATCATCAAAGTTCCTGATTTCGACCAAGTTGGCCGCTCCTCCTATCCATGAACGATGATATGCGAACGCGCCCCCCGGGCAGGTGTGATTTATTCTTCATATGTAATGGTCTGCCGATTTTAACAACTGACGCCCCATCAACACGAATACTGATGGTGCTTGATTTCTAATACATTCATATACTTCGTGAATAATACCATCAGTACCACTATTTCGGGGTTTTACTGACGTAGCCTGATCACTCTCTGGTACATCGGTCACTCTTTTGTGCTGCCTGGAAACCCTAAATGGGCCGACTGCCTCCCATCCACCAAAGCTGCCGCTACACCCACTTACCGTTCGAACCGCTGTTACTTCCACCATGAAGTGCTGGGATGGCTCGGACGAGTGTGAGGTGAGGGACCTGCGAGTCGCGTTTTGAGACTGATGGAAGTACAATACTTCAAAAGCCATTGCCTTGATAAGGCGTTGACACTGACAGAAGCATCATCTCCCTTCTCTCAGAGCTCTTATCTTGCTGATCCGTGAAACACTCCCTTTTTTTGTTTATAGAACTTCGTGCTATAACTAATTGCTGTTGCTATGGCCAGGAGCGCGCTTTTCCTGCTACTCTGTGAGTGTTATACGCTCTCATGTTTGATCATCGCTCTCATGCTTGATCATCGTTCTCATGCTTGATCATCGCTCTCATGCTTGATCATCGCTCTCATGCTTGATCATCGCTCTCATGCTTGATCATCGCTCTCATGCTTGATCATCGCTCTCATGCTTCATCATCGCTCTCATGCTTCATCATCGCTCTCATGCTTCATCATCGCTCTCATGCTTCATCATCGCTCTCTGTGAACTCCTTCCCCTTTTGCTGCCATAGTCCTAAACTCGTCTTGTTCACTGGCGCTTAATTTCCCGAAGCTGGCTGCGCTTTCTCGAAGCTGGTCGCTGTTTTCCCGGAGCTGGTGGCTGTTTTCCTGAAGCTGGGGTGGTTGTTTTCCCGAAGCTGGGGTGGTTGTTTTCCCGAAGCTGCGCCTGGCAGAGGCGGCGGCGCTTCTCTGGGGCATCAGGGCGGCGAACGTCACAACGGCTCTTGCAGAGACGAGCCGGCGGAGCCATAACCTTACACTTCCTGTTTCACTTGGTGCTTGTTATTCTTCCGCCGTCCCTGGCAGGCGCGGCGCTTCTCTGGGGCGTCAGGGCGGCAAACGTTACAACGGCTCTTGGGGAGACGAACCGGCAGAGCTTGGCGGGAGTCTCCCGTGAGTTTCTCTGTCTTGCACAACCTTATTGATTGTTTTGAGATGACAAAAAGACTCCGAGTCGGAAATAGCGCGCGTAAAGGCCGATGACAAATGCATCGAGCTTCTGCTATGGAATGCACATGATGGTACCAGTACCAGACATGTTGTTCCCCCAGGATAGGATACACATGAAATACGCTAAACTTTAACACTGCGATGTGACAGTTCTGCTACATCAGCATTCGAGAGGGTCTTGTAAAGAAGCAAGCCATTGAAGGGTGGACATTTCTACTATGCTCGTTTCTTGGTTCTCTCAATCCCATTTCAAATCTCTTAGTAAGCCCAGTGAGTCCAGCCAGGTACTAAGTGTTGCTTTTCATTGGATCCTTTAGCCTTCCCCTTTATCCCCCTTCCTGCAGATCACATAAGGGTGATTGCTAGTCCTGCCAGATACAAGGGCCGCGTGTGGCCTTTCGAGTGGGCTAGAGGAACGATCAACATAAAGACTTCCCAGTGAGTTTGAGTTTGCCCCAAATGTTCAAAGGATTTTTTGGACACTTGCTGAGTGAACAGCATGAGCAACTTGCTGAGTGACATCGTGCACGGGACACATCCTGACCGCTTTCCTGTCTCTGTTTGCGACGCATTATCCAGGGTCGGAGGAGCCAATATGCGTATTGAGACTGTCACAAACGTGTATAACATGCGGTCTAAAGGTGTCAAGCCAACATTCATCCTTATTGGAATAGGCTGCCCGTCTCCGTCTAATGGCATGTATCCCTTTGGACGCATGACGTGGGAAGGTCGTACGGGCAGGATGGGGAAAATTCTGAACCGCTACAATTTTGAGGGGAAGTTTGTGACTGCTAGCGGCATTTTGGACGATTCGATTAAGGCGATTATAGGCAACCCAAAATTGTTCAGAGGCTTGATTGAAGTTGCTGGGGACTTGTTTTGCGGCAAGGTCAGGAGGTTGAAGTAGAGGCTTAGCTGCACTCAAAGCAGACTGGGAGTGCATGCACGCGGGATAAGGGTTTGAGACTCTTACCTGGCTCATGCGGGAGGGAGGGATGATTGGAGGAAAAGGTAGAGTAGGAGCATGTTACCTGGGTGCAAGAGCAAGAGATGTAACACAGGCTGATGGATCCATTCTGTGCTTATGGGAAGAAAGGCTTGTGTTGTGTGAGTGTTCACTATGGATCCATTCTGTGCTTATGGGAAGAAAGGCTTGTGTTGTGTGAGTGTTCACTATGGATCCATTCTGTGCTTATGGGAAGAAAGGCTTGTGTTGTGTGAGTGTTCACTATGGATCCATTCTGTGCTTATGGGAAGAAAGGCTTGTGTTGTGTGAGTGTTCACTATGGATCCATTCTGTGCTTATGGGAAGAAAGGCTTGTGTTGTGTGAGTGTTCACTATGGATCCATTCTGTGCTTATGGGAAGAAAGGCTTGTGTTGTGTGAGTGTTCACTATGGATCCATTCTGTGCTTATGGGAAGAAAGGTTTGTGTTGTGTGAGTGTTCACTATGGATCCATTCTGTGCTTATGGGAAGAAAGGCTTGTGTTGTGTGAGTGTTCACTATGGATCCATTCTGTGCTTATGGGAAGAAAGGCTTGTGTTGTGTGAGTGTTCACTATGGATCCATTCTGTGCTACGTAGTGAATGAAACACGGAGGCTCAGAGAGTGCAAGCCGAATCAAGTAGGCAGGAGGAAATGGAATAAATGATCCATGGAAGTACTTAGTAACAAACAACTGTACATTGTGTACACGTCATTGAACAAGCCATGCTACCTAGTACCTACAGTATGAGATATTATGTCACTGCAATGAATGGATGGCTTATGAGGGCCCCACCAGCCAGCCGATGGCATTCTGATCGAACCGAGAAGAATTGACAGTGCCGTAGCTAGCTGTAGACAGTGACTCCGATGTATGATGATCCAAGGAATCGAATGTACCTGGGGGCTTCAGCAGATGGGGCCTCTGATGATGAAGGACATCCCGAATCCTGATTTTCTGGTTGAAGAAGGAATGGTGGTGCCGTAGCAAGCCGTAGATTGTGTGACTCTGGTCTGAGCTATGACACTTGTGCAAGGAATGGATGGTTCATGACGGCTTCAGCAGATGGGGCCTCTGATGATGAGGGACATCCCGAATCCTGATATTCCGGTTGAAGCAGGAATGGTGGTGCCGTAGCAAGCCGTAGATTGTGTGACTCTGACCAATGACGTTGCAAGGAAAGGATGGCTCAGGAGGGCTTCAGCTGACGGCCTCTGTGTAGCGGCTTGACCCAAGTCCTTATATTCTGGTTGAAGCAGGACTGATGGTGTTGTGCTGTAGCAAGCCATAGATGGTGTGACTCTGATCTATGACGTTGCAAGGAGAGGATGGCTCATGAATGCTTCAGCTGATGGCTCTTTGAAGAGTCTTGACCCAAATTCTTGTGTTCTGGTCGAAGCAGGACTGATGGCGTCGTGCTGTAACGAGCTGTGGATTGTCTGATTCTGATATGATCTATGGCGTTGCAAGAAAAGGATGGCTCATGAGGGCTTCAGCTGTTGGCCTCTTTAAAGGGTCGCGGTTCAAGCACGATGCCACAAAGTCTGTGAAGTCAGGTGAAGAATCAGGTGGGAGTTCAGGTAGGTCTCGACTGTGAGCAATGAACAGCCTCACCTGACACCACCGAAAAGGGCAAAAGGGCGAGGGATAAAGATGGTAATAAGGTAAAAAAAAAATATTTGATGCGAAAGCAGGTAGATATATATGATAAATAAATGCAGATGGCAGAGCAAGGCACACCAAATGGTAATTGAATCCTACTACGTGTAGCTCTACCCTGTCCCCCTCTCTTCCTGTTCCGTGCCCCTGACATGGAACCTGCTATGGCATCCCAAGCTCACCTGCTCGCTGTCTGTGACACCAGCCCACGGCTCTGCTCCTGTCGCCATCGCCACGGCCAGGCACCCTAACGCCCACACGTCAGATGGAGGGCCCACTTCTTCCTGTGGGGCAAAGATAGAAGAAAGAAGGAAGGAAGTTGAAAAGAGAATGAACATCAGCCCACGGCTCTGCTCCTGTCGCCATCGCCACGGCCAGGCACCCTAACGCCCACACATCAGATGGAGGCCCCACTTCCTCCGGTGGGAAAGGATGCCAAAAAGGATCAAGGAGTAGCAGAGTTGAGTTTTGAGAGGTCCCGAGGCAGTAAGACGAGCACCAAACAGCCAAGTTGTTGCTGGATTTTGTTTTTTTTCCCTCTTGAAACGGACGTCAGAAAGTCGCATAAGGAGTACCGCGGAGTTGCGTTTGAGAGGCCTCGAAAAAAAATGAAACGAGCACCAAACCACGGATTTGTTACTGGGCGGTTATTTCCCTCTTAAAGAACTCCTCTCGTCTCACCTCTCCGATGGCTTCAGGAGACAAGCGGGAGACCCGGCTGTCCCTGAAACTATGACTGAAACCATTGCTGCATCGATGACTGCAATCATTACTTGACGCTGCTGTTTCCCTCGTCTCACCTCTCTGATGGCTTCAGGAGACAGGCGGGAGACCCGGCTGTCCCTGTAACCATGGCTGCTGTTGCTGCTTCTGCCGCCGCTGCTGCAACTGTTTTTGCCTTTCCAGAAGGTCCCGTGACCGTTGGAGTCCAGCCAAGCGATGCCGGCCAGTCGCACGACCCCGTCGTCCGGGACAAACACTGTGGAGGGGCGGACGTTGCCGTGAGTGATCCCCTGGGCGTGCAGGGAGTGAAGGGCCTCTGCTACCTGGTGGGAGAAGGGGAGTGGGTGAGGGATCATAGGGATGAGTCCGGCCAGTCGCACGACCCCATCGTCCGGCACAAAGACCGTGAAGGGAAGGACGTTGCCGTGGGTGATGTCGTGTGAATGCAGGGAGTGAAGGGCTTCGACTACCTGGTAAGACAGGGGGAGTGGGTGAGGGATCATAGGGATGAGTACAGCCAGTCGCACGACCCCATCGTCAGGGACAAAGACGGTGGAGAGGCAGACGTTGCCATGAGTGATGCCGTGGGCGTGCAGGGAGTGAAGAGCGGTGAGGGTTGATGGGAAGAATCACCGGGGCAGATGGGTGAGGGGAGAGGCATCAGAGACGGGTGTTGCCATGGGTGACGCACCACACACAAATTGCACCGCATTGCACCGCACTGAACACCATCCAGTTCTCACCTGTCGGAGGCAGAAGGCAAGGGTGTCTTCTGGAATGGGCGCACACTCCTGCAGCTGCTTGGAGAGCGGCGTTTTTACACCACCATTACCACAGCACACCATGCAGCACCGCATTGCACCGCACTGCACTGCACTGAACTCAGTGTTTCTCACCTGTCCGGGGCAGAAGGCGAGGGTATCTTCCGGCATGGGCCCCGCACTCCTGTAGCTGGTGGGAGAGCAGTGGCCACGTACCACCACTACCACAGCACACCATGCTGCACCGCATTGCACCACACTCCACCTCACTGCACCGCACTGAATACAGTCCAGTTCTCACCTGTCGGAGGCAGAAGGCGAGGGTATCTTGCGGCATGGGCCCGAACATCACCACTACCAGCACACCGCACTGGACCATGCTGCACCGCATTGCAGCTCATTGCATCTGACTGAACAAACTGCTTCTCACCTGTCGCAGGCAGAAGGCGAGCGTATCTTCCGGCATGGGCCCGCACTCCTGTAGCTGGTGGGAGAGCGGCGACGACGGCACAAACTCAAAAGCCGCAAACACCACCACTGACTCTTCTTGAGGAGATGCAGCAGCAGCAGCAGCAGCAGCAGCAGCAGCAGCAGCAGCAGGACCAGCAGCAGCAGGGTTGGCTCGGATGGCACCGATGCAAGGCACCACGTTCTCATGACTGTGTTTCAGCAGCAGTGCCACCTTCCTCTGAAGCTCACGCACCCTCCCACCCTCCACACTCTCTCGTGTCTTTGTCTCACCCCCATTCCCACTCCCACTCCCACTCCCAATACCCACATGACCATTTTTCTTCCCCACTTGCCCCCCCACCTCCTCCCGAGCCTCTTCCCGAACCTCCAGCCGCTGCACGACGAACCTCTGACCCGAGCCTCGGTCCTCGATCAGGCTCAGCCTCATGCCGAGCCTTGACACGAGCCTCCACTTCTCGGGTAGGTTCGGGATAGTACCTGTTTCGGGCAACTCCTCCTCTCCCTCCTCTCCCTCCTCCTTCTCCCCCTCCACCACCTCCTTCTGTCCCACATTTCCCTCCTCACCCTCATCTCCCTCCTCTCCTTCGTCTCTTCTCAAGCACCGAACGCTCATTCTCGCTGCTAGCTTCGAAGCTTCCTTCCCTCCTGATGTGTCCCCTGCAAATTCTGCTGCTCCTGATGCACCTGCTTCCCCTCCTGCTGCTTCCACTCCCGCTGCCTTTGCTGCAGCATTTGCGGCTCGTGCCAATCCACCAGACCGTTCTCTCGACACATAAGGAACCATCGCTCCTGCTCCTGCTGATGCACCCCCCGATGCTGCTTCTGCTCCTGCTCCTGCTGATTTTGCTGCTGCTGTTGCTGCTGCTCCTGCTCCTCCTCCTGCACCTGCTGTGGTTGCTGCTTCTGGTCCCCTCAAACTCCCACCCACCACTGCCACTCGCCCACCAATCGCAGGCTCACATGAGTTTCTTCTACGAGGCTCGGGGTTTCGAGGCTCGGGGTTTCGAGGCTTGGAGAATCTGCGCTCGGGGTTCCTAGGTCCGTCACAGCTAGGTTCGGCGTTGCCAGGATTGGCATTGCTAGGTTCGGCAGAAGTGTCGAGAGACCAAGGCTCGGAGGAACGGAGGCTCGGATGGCTGAGGCTCGGCGGGAGCGTGGACTCGAAGCGAGCAAAGGAATGGAACATGGCCAGGTCTTCAGGAGAAAGCTCAGGTGTGCTTTCCCGTAGATCAGGTGCGTTTCTGCGCAGCTCAGGTGTGTTCTCAGGTGGTATGGGAGGGCGAACTGGTGGGACGGGGTTGACTGGGGAGGGAGGAGGGGCACGGAGGTTAGGGGCGAAAAGAGGAGGGGCAGAGAGAGGAGGGTTGAGAGGGATCACTGGTTGGGCTTGGGGCGAGGTGCGTGGAAAGCGGTGGTGGTGGTGCTGGTGCTGATGGTGGTGGCAGTGCTGATGTAAAGGAGCGATATAACAAATATTACCATGTAAAAGAGGGCAATAACGTAAATTACCATGTAAAAGAGGGCAATGACGTAAATTACCATGTAAGAGAGGGCAAGAACGTAAATTACCCTGTAAAGGAGGTCGTGTCTTGGGTGGATTGTTGAGGTCCATACTAACTGCCCCCCCATGCCCCCCATGCCCCCCATGCCCCCCATGCCCTGATTCTCCCCCATGCCTTGACTCTCCCCCATCCCCTGACTGCCACGTGTCCCCATCCCCGTGCCTACTAATGCGACGCTGTACAGCAAACCGCCTTCCACTCCCTCTTTCACTCCCTTCCTCACTTCCTTCTTGCCTACCCCTCTTCCTCCTCCCTCCCAATTCCCTCCTCACAGCCTCGGCAGCAGCTTTGGCAGCAGCTTCGGCAGCAGCTTCGGCAGCGGCTTCGATGTCAAAGCTCTCCGTAACACTCCAGAATTCCGAACCTCCCGCCAGGCTCCGATTCTGTCCGAGCCTGCCTCCGGGCCTGGAGAAGCTGGTCTGGTGTCGAACCTGGTGGTGCTGGTGCCGTTCTTGCTCCTTAATCCTCCCACCTTCCAACCTCCCCACGCCACCGCCCATCCTCCCCACCATGCTTGCATAAACCGCCTCTGAAGCAGCCGCTGCCGCGGCTGCTGCCGCCGCCGCAGCTGCTGCCACTGCCACGTTTTGAATATTTTGCAGAGACTCATGCTTCTGTTGCTCCTCCTCCTCCTCCTGCTGCTCCCGCTCTTTCTCTTCTATTTCATGAAGGTGTGAGAGAGGAGGGTGTGAGAGAGGAGGGTGTGACAGGGGGCGGTAAGGAATAGTGGACAAAGCGAGAGAGTCTTTGCCTGGCACAAACACAGCAAGTGCCCTTCCTCCTTCAACCCCTACTGCTCCTCCTGCTGCTCCTCCTGCTCCTCCTCCTCCTGCTCCTCCTCCTCCTCCTGCTCCTCCTGCTTCTCCTGCTTCCTGCCCCTCTGATTCTGCCTGTCTGTCTGCTGCTGTCTCTCTGTCTGGTGACGTCACTCCCACACCTTCTTGTCCCACACCAAACGGGCTCATAGCGCGAGCTTGCGCCCCCCGAACCAAAGCCTCCCGAACCTGCGCCTCAGCCTGGGCCCGAGCCTGCACTTGCAATTGCGCCTGAGCCTGAGCCTGTGCCTGTGCTAGGAATGCTGCTTGTGATGCCATGAAAGCCTGGGCCTGGACCTGCATCCGAGCCTGCGCCACAGCTTCGGCCCGAGCCTGCGCCTCCATCCGTGCCCGAGCCTCCAGTTGCGCCCGAGCCTGAGCTTCGAACTGCGTCCGAGCCTGTGCTTGCACCTGCGCCATTTGTTGCAGCACACTCGTCTCTCTCAGCAGCCTCCACACCTCCTGCTCCTTCCTCTGCAAATCCTCCCTCCTTTCCCTCCTCTCCTCTCTCTCCTCATCCTCCCTCTCCCTCTCCTCCTCCTCTTCATCCTCATCCGATTCCTCTCCCCGCCTCCTCACCTCCCCACTGCCGTCCGAGCCTGAGCCGTCCGAATCTGAGCCGTCGGAGCTCAATCGCTCCCGAGCCTCGTCATCCCCTCTCCTCACGCCTCTCCTATCCACCTTCCCTTCCCTGTCCCTATCCGTCTCCTCATATTCCTCCTCCTCCTCTTCCCCTCCCCTATTCCACTCTACCTTCCTTTCCTCATCTTCTCGAAGTGTTTCTAAATTGCTCCGGCCTAGCACCCTCCGCTGCTGCTGGGGTTGCTTAAAAGCGTTCCTATCTCCTCGTTTTCTTCCCCACCCCCCACCAGCCGCACTAACAGCAGCACTGGCAGCACCAGCACCAGCACCAGCACCACCACCACCAACAGCAGCAGCAGCAGAAACAGGGTTACCATTCCCCAATGTCCCTGGAGCAGGTACAGGCAGAGGATTAGGCACAGCTCCAGGCAGAGGTATTGAGTTGCTCTGCTGCGACTCAGCGCACATGCCCATGAGTGCTCGCATGCGCACTGCTGCCGCTGCTGCTGCATGGGGGCTTGTGCCGTGGGGAAGAAAGAGAGGGATGGACAATGCTCCTGCCCCTGCTGCTGCTACTGCTGCCGGGGAGAGCAGCGGCGACGAGGGTGGTGCTGCTCGTGGGGGGGGTGTAAAGGCTCTCATTGCTGCTGCTGCCGCTGCTGCTGCTGCTGCTGCTGCTGCTGCTCCTCGCGGGGGAGTAAAAGCTCTCATTGCTGCTGCTAGTGCTGCTGAGGGGGGGGTAAAACCTCTCATTGCCGCTGCTGCTGCTGCTGCTGCTGCTGCAGGGGGCGTTAGTCCTCTCCTTGTTGCTGCGCCTGCATCTCGCTGCCAGCTCCCCCCTCCAATTCCCTTCTCCACCTCCTCCCCTTCCTCCTCACTCTCCTCCTCACTCTCCCACTCCTCCCCTCCCTCCTCCCCCTCCTCCTCCTCTCCCCGCGTCTCACACCCTCTCTCCCTCTCTCTCCCCGCTCCCCGCTCATCCGCTCCCCCACGCGCCTGGCGATTCAAAGACGGCCGAGAATCGTTCTGAGAGGTCTCGAAAACCAACGTATCGGACATATTAGCTGTATGATTCAAGGAGAAGCATCGCTTTTCAGACTCAGACTTTTGAACCACCGCATGCCTGTCGGAAAGGTGGTTGCTATGGGGATGGGGCGGCGGGGGAGGAGGCGGAAGGGGGGACGATGAGCGGGCCTCGGGGGGAAGCATCAGGGGAGAGCGGGTGGCGGGAAGAGCGCTGGAATAAGGGAGAGGAAGAGGAGGATACGAACGGCGCTCGTCCCTCCCTTTCCCCCTCTCCTCCCATCTCTCACGCTCCTCCTCCTGCCCCCACCTTTCTCTTCCCCGCTCTCCCCGCATCCCCCCCCATGCCTCGCTGCCCCGTTGCCCCACAGCGGGGCCCTGGAAGCCCCCTTCCCCCTGCGCCTCCCGCCGTCCTTCCCCCCACGGATCCCCCTGCCCTTCCCTCCACCCTCCCCTTTGCGCCTCCCGCCATCCTTCCCCCTGCCTTCCCCCCTGCTCTTCCACTCTTTCCCCTGGCCTTCCCCCATCCCCACCTCTCGTCTCTCTCATTAGGTCCCCGCGGAAATCTCTTCCTAAACCCGCTCTCCCCCCTTGCGCCCAACCTTCCGCCCCCTGTTCCCCCCATTCCCCTGGTCTCTTCCCCCGAATCCGCGCCTCGATTTGCTGCCCGAGCCGCTTCTGCAGGCTCTCTGTAGGCACAGTAACCTTTTTTGCCCCAGCTGCCCGTTCCAAATGTTTCGACACTGCCCGCCCATCCCTCCCACCCATCTCAACCGCACAATCCCTTCCCTCAACGCCGTCACGGGCAGCCCACTCCCGACGGAAAACCTGGTCACGATCTTCCACTCTTGCGTATTTTCGCGGGGTAAATTGCCCGAGATTTTCCAGGGCTTCCCAGGGTTGTGCCCGCTTTGCACCAGGGTAATTAGCTTGAGGAGCCACTTCTGCGAAGGCGTGAGCTGACTGAAGAACGTTTCTCGCCGGTAGCTGCGGTAGCAACGGTAACTGCCGCTGCTGCTGCTCCTGCTGCTGTCGCGGCTCCAATCCGCGTCGCCACTCTAACATTCTGACGTCTCCGTCTCCGTTCCCGTTTCCGTCTCCGTCTCCATTTCCGTCTCCGTCTCCGTCTCCGTCTGCGCTTCCGTCTCCCGACCGTTGCACCGCCTGGCCTCCGGCGTCTGGTCGCACGAGCGAACGGTCGTCGCCACGTCGTCGCACGGCCTGTCGCACGCCGGCGACCCTCCCATCGCCGGCCGGAACCGTCCCGGCTGCTGTGACTTCCGCGAAATCGCCGGCGGCACCGGCGGAACGGTCGTTTCCGCCACTAAAGCCGCGGCCTGTTCCGCCACTGTGCCAGTTGCGGTCACCGGGGCTGTCGCTTCGGCCACTCCGCCAATCACTGTTGCGGTTACTGAAGCTGTCGCTTCCACCACTGCGGGAGGAAAGCGGCGGCGCCATTTCCTCCCGTGGATTCCGCGCAGGAGGCGAGGGGGATCCGCGCGGCAGCTGAGGCGGCGGCGGGGCTTTCCGCGGCGCGGCGTTGTCTCGAATCATAGCCGTTTCTGCCGCGAGGATTACGCGGCGCGGCGGCGCTGGCTTCGGGCTTTTTGAAAAGGCGTCCGCGTAAGGGGAGCTCCGCCCGAGCGGGGGTAGCGCGGGGGCGGGGCTGGGGAATGCGAGGTCTGGTATCGACTGGTGCTGCTGTAACGCGAAATTTGCGAAATTTGCAAAATTCGCGCACGCGATAGGACTCGTCGCGAAAGGGCTCGTCCCGAAACCGGCGGCGAAAGGGGATGAAGGCGGAGCGAGGGGAGTGAAGGGGGATGGAGGGGTGGCTATAAAGGGGAGTAAAGGCGGTGTGATTGTAGCTCCTGGCGCAAGAAACGGCGACGTGGACAATGCACGGAGAGACGCTAGTATGGCTTCTCTATCCATCTCCGGCGCAAAAGATGGCGAATTATATTATTATCGGAAGGATGCGTATTAGTGTGATAGTGCTAATTGCACATAAACTCAGCCAGAGTTTCACGAAACTTTGAAGAAATGGAAAGGGCAGCGCTAGAGCAAGAGGATTCTTTTGGCTGAGCCTAAGCCTATCATGCCTGCTAGTAGGAGGTAGTAGAGCTATCGCACCTATCATCATCCAGAGCTGAACGCAGTGCGCTGTGCTAGTGTTTCCTTATTGCCTTGTGGCGAGGCGACCTGTTTCCCAAAATTCTGCCAGAATTTTGTCTTTCGTTCAGTTGGGGTTTGGGCGAAGTGGCTGGTGGGGCGTTGGGTGGTTCGTGTGTTGTTTGCTGCAATCATCATCAATGCGCTTGTGATGTCTCTGTTGCGATGAGATGGGATGGGATGGGAGGAATGAGGAGTTTATCGCGATTGGGAAATGTCTAGTGCTTGTTCCGATGATCGACGGCTCCTATGTGTTCGATCGCTGTTTTTAGCATATGAGGCGGGCGAGATGAGCAAAATGCAAGGCGCACCAGCGGAGAAGTCGTATCCATCCCGTAAGATCCGCTGGTGCAGAAGCACGCGTGGTCGCGCTGGCGACTTGATGAGGATGAACCATGTGGCGGTGGTATGAGGACGTGCGAATGAGAAGCAGCATTTGCGTTTATTGCGACGCACAGGTGCGGTGAACGGAGGGCGGTGTGTGTACACCTAGTCCGCGGTATTTTAACCACGTGAACTTTTTTGTTTAAAACATCCAGTGTGCATTTTTGTCCAATGGGATGGGCACCCAGAGACTTCGGGGCTATTAGAATACAACCGGGACACTTTTGTTTTGGAAAACCCACACTTAGTTCTCCGAGATAGGGGGCGCTTTGGCATCATCAGAGTTGCAACTGACGTGACCTCGCGAAGGGGACGCGTAACTCTACCCTCATAAATTGGTTAAACTACCCTTGTATTCAATCTTGACCACGGAGTAGTACCCCCGCGTGGTTAAGATACCGGCGGTTAAAATACCGCGGACTAGGTGTAACACGCACACATGGAGATGGATGGCATTGCGTGGTGGTGCTGTCTGTAAGGTTGACTCGGGCATTGAGCTCAACCGATGAAATGCCGTCGGTCGGGTGGGTCTGTCAAATCATTTGAGGATGAAGATTCCACTTGCCCGTTTCTTCCGTTGCACATCGCACCACCTTGCTAATGCGCTAAGGTAGAATTGGATTCTCGGATCTATTGAAGGTGTATGTGATTATGATATCAGGTGGCCTGTTAGAAGAAACCTTTCACCCCCTCCTCCCTGAAGCAGCCATTCGCCAGTCACTTGGAAGGCTCTGCAAGGCCGTAATGCTTCGAGGAGCGCCGAATCACCATCGGAACCCAGATGTTCCTCCTAATTTAGCTACTTCAGTTTTTAAGAAGAGAGCGGGTATGCACCGTTCACGCGTGCAATGTGCGGCTGGTTTCCGAAAGTAGGGGGATCAAAGAAAAACAAATTACCATGACCAAGGCTCTCGATTCGTTCTGGCCAACCCTGCCAAATGGTAGGGTGACGATCTAATGGATTCTGTTTTGCCCGTTAAACCCGAACTCTGGCAGGGTGGGATCGAAATACAGTCCACTCGTTGCAGGGTTGCGTCAAATTTCACTCTGAAACTCAGGGTTAGATTTCGAGAATAAGCCGCCCTGCAATTGCGAGGCCTCCATGACACGCACGCCGCCAATAAAGCACAACTCTCACATGCGTCCTCCCGCACATGGGGTGGATGAGCCCTTCAATCCATCCACCACAGCCAACTCACCACCACCACGGTGCCTCTCATTCGACCCGTTCTGCTCTGTTTGTGGGGCCGTGTGCGCAATTCCAGTTCCAGCTGTCCGCCAGCCGCAACCCACCATTCCGCAAAGGGGGAAGTGGGCGGCATGATGTGGGTTCGGATGGTGTGAAACATGTGATTCATTGCGCCCACATGTTCCCCCTGCTCCCCAGACTACCATTGACGAGCTTCCTGCCAGCACGACAATTTTCCACTGCCCTGACACAGGAGCTACATTTTCGAAACCAGTAAACTTGGGTCCTTGAGACCTCCATTGGTAGTGTACAGTTCAGCTTCTCTCAAAATGCAGTTTCTGAAATGCCACGCGTGGCGGCGAGGCACATTCCAGGACTGAAAACAAGCGCTGCTGCACGTGAATAGTTCGAAGACAAGATTTGCCGCAGGTGGGGAACCCAGCACGAGCGATGCACAGTGAAGCATCTCTTTCTCAACCGCGATAGGCCCCTCCCGCATTCGCGATAAGCAGTAGCGAAAAGTGCATGGACCGCAGTTTCGCTCCGACAGCGCTGATCCTCGATACAGCTCAAAGGATATGCAGCTTATACACTACGTCCGATATAGGGTAAATGTCCATACCATAAGATTTAGGGCGAGACCAGGTCGCACGTCCCCTGTACGTTCTCTGCGGTCCAATTTGTTATTTCGCAGTGCAAAGAGGTAAAACTGGATAACCGATTTCCACCGCGTGAAACCGTCTTAAGCCACGAAGCATGAACTGTAAATGAACGACCTGACCACGCTCTGAAAGAAAGGGAATCATGAACGAGTCACAAGATAACGGCCCACTGAATCGTTACTGGCAATAACATTGGTTAAAGAATGGGCAAAAACACTCGCAACTGTCTGCGAGGCTCGACATGTAACAATCAATGAGCGGAAGCACAGTGGGCGGAGGAGGAGGGGAAGGTGCGGGAGGTGGGAAAGGGGGAGGCGATGGGGGCGAGGGAGGGGGGGGAGATGGGGGAGGTGGGGGGTTCGGGGGCGGGTTAGGGGGAGACGGGGGAGGCCTAGGAGGGGGGCTCGGAGGTGACGGGGGGGAGGGAGGGGGAGATTTTGGAGGTGGGGAAGGGGGAGGGGAGGGTGGGAGGGGACCTGGGGGGAATGGCGGTGGTGGTGGTGGGCTGGCTGGAACATACACACACACACATGGCACATACGATTTTGGGGTGGGAGAGACGCAGGTGAAAGAGAGGAAGAACAGCAAAATGAGATGAATGAAAGTGAGACTGAAGCAGAGTGAGTAGTGAGAGGAAGCAGAGTCAGACGGCGCAGCAGAGTGGGATCACAAAGGGAGACGAGACAAAAGCGAGAGTGAGGCCACTCTGAGGTCAAGTGGGATCTCAGAGGGAGAGGAAAGAGAATCGGAAAATGCACAGTGCAAGAGGAGGGTGCATCCGGTCTCTAAAGCTAATGCAGCGGCTTAGAAGGAACTTGAGTTTTGAGACGTCACAAATGAAGCATAGACAGAACAAACAAGCAGAGAGCATTTATGAACACGTAAAGGGGGACAGGGAGGTGGGGGGAGGAACAGACTCGGTATTATCACCAAGAAGTAGGGGGAACGCGGGGGACTTGGGTACCGTCACAAGGGACTTACGAGGCAGGTCACATGATTTGGAGTCTGCAGAACGGACAAACGGCGCCGTGCACTGGCACTGGTAGAACAACACTCCGTTGCCGCTCAGATTCGCCACACACATGCCCTTCTCCATCCCGCACTGCTGGAGTTGAGTCACTCTCAAGGTGACTTTTGAGTCGACTCACAGTGACTATCTAGGAGTTCCGTGTCTCCCCAACAAGGAGGAGAGCGCAGAGCAGTCGGTCAGTAGGAGTAGGCCAATTGGGGGGGCGAGTCAGGGGAGAGGAAGAAAGAAGGAAGGGGAGGCAGGCAGGGGACTTACGTGGAAGATCGCACGATTTGGCGTCAGCGGTACGAACGAATGGCGCCGTGCACTGGCACTGGTAGAACAGCACCCCGTTACCGCTCAGATTCGCCATACACACGCCCTTCTCGTACCCGCACTGCTGGTTCGGAAAAAGCGGCATCGCAAGGCTCGTTTCGCAGAACACAAAACACTCATCCTCCGTTTTTTGCGGCTCCACAAAATTCACTGTCAGTCCTGATATGGCTGTGCAGGTGTTGGCGAGGTTTAAGAGGCAGTTTTGGGCGGCGGTGTAGGACGAAAGCGGAGGGTCCGGGCAGAGGGGCAGCCCGATGCTGTCGGTGCCGTCGTTGGCTGACCCGAAAAAAAAGTTGTTGGAGAGGTCGGTGGATTTTAGCTCGCCTAGAAACCCGATTTTGGGTAAATACCCCGTGAAATAGTTGTAGGAGATGTTGCTGTGGGTGGTGGAACAAAAGGGAGGGCAGTGTGGCAGGGTTGAGAGGAAAGATGGGTGTTTTTTAAGAATTTGAGAAACGCCCTGCAATATCAGGGTGGCATGCAGGGCTAAGGGGAGAGGAAGGCGGGGGGGGAGAGGAAGGCGGGGGAAACGGGCGAGGACGGAGGGATTAAAGAGAGGAAGACAGGGTTTGAAACGAATTGTGTGACAACAACTCGAAATTTCAGAAATCTTACATGGATTGAAGAAAAGTGAGGGAGCTGAAGATAGTTCGCGCGTGTTTTGAGCCGACTTCGTCGATTACAAAAATCACAAACCTTGAGCAGAAATCACAAACCTTGGCCAGAAATCAGAAACGTTGGGCAGAAATCACAAACCTTGGGGAAGAAATATCTGGGAATCTTACATGGATTGCAGTGAAGTGAGGGCGCTGAAGATAGTTTGCACGTGGCCACTGAAATAGTTGCTGCTGAGATCGCTGGTGGTTGGTGAGGTCAGGAGGGGTGAAGAGGGTTGAGGAGGTATGAGGAGGGGCAAGGGAGAGAGAAGGGAGGATCGCAGGGAGAAAGGGGAGGGACCCAGAACAGGGAGAGCGCTGAAGATAGTTCGCACGTTGCCACTGGAGGAGTGGTTGTTGCTGAGGTCGCTGCAAGAGGAGAGGGGGGAGGAGGGGCGAAGGGAGATAGGGGAGAGTCACAGAACCGTGAGAACGCTGAAGAGAGTCCGAACATGGCCTCTTGAGTAGTTGCAGCTGAGGTCGCTGCAAGAGGAGAGGCATACTCAGAAGGGGGCAGTGGGATCCAGAGGACGGCAGACTCACAGAAAGTATAGAGACCTGGAGGGAGCTTTTTAGCTTTTTAGCTTTTTTGCGGCCTCGGAGTTCGGAGTGGGATTGGCCTTTGAGAATCCTCGAAGGTGACTCCGATTAAATCGCGCAGAATTCGGGAAAGGAAAGCAGGCTCACAGCCTCACAGAGAATAGAGGGACTGCAGATTGGAGAGAGACTTGTGCAGGGAACCAGCCATCTTTTTGAGGCGCCTCAAAAACAGACTCCAGTTAAGTAGCGCAGAATTCAGGAAAAGAAAGCAGACTTACAGAGAGTAGAGGGACTGCAGATTGGAGAGGGACTTGGGCAGGGAACCAGACAGAGAGTTGAAGGCCACGTTGCTGGCGTGGGGGAGGTGGGGCGCAGGGGAGGGAAGAGGGGAGAGAGGAGGCAAGAGAGGAATGTGAGGAGAGTGCAGGTGAGAGAGGCTTGGGCAAGGAGGCGGACAGAGAGGTGAAAGAGATGTTGCTGGGAATGGTGGGGAGGAAACAAATGAGTGGGGGAGGTGACACACAAGGGAGTTGGGTTGGGTGGGGCATGGGGGAGGTGGAGGTGGCACATGAGGGAGGTGGGTGGGGCATGGGGGAGGTGACAAATGAGGGAGGTGGGTGGGGCATGGGGGAGGTGACAAATGAGGGAGGTGGGGTTGGGCAATGGGGGAGGTGACATAGAAGGGAGGTGGGTGGGGCATGGGGGAGGTGGGGCATGAGGGAGGCGGGTACAAGGTGGGATGAGAAAGTCAGGCATAGCCAATTGATAGATGGAATTCAAATCACTGTGGGAGTCTTATCTTCCCTCATAATGGAACTAACTCATTATATTATCACATGGATGGATGGAAGTCACTGTGAGAATCTGGATTGCAGCTTTCTACCCGTTTTCTTAGTTTGATTGAGAGCACTGTGAGAATCTGGATTGTGCTAAGCATTTCACTTGCAAGAATCTAAAGTCGGTCATGTTTGTGGTGGGCATCTTTTGAGAAAGCCAGTCAAATTGCACCTTTGAGTCGACGCAAAAGTCACTCACAAGAATCTAAGGTCGGTCATGTTTGTGGTGAACATCTCTTGAAAAGGCGACTCAAAATGCACCTTTTGTGTTTAAACTTACAAGAATCTAAGGTCGGTCATATTTGTGGTGAACATTGAAGGAAGCGTACCCGATAGCAAATTCTCAGACACGTCTCTGAAAGAGGAGAAAAGGAAAGATTAAAAAAAGAGGCCGAGCAACAGGGAACCAGCAAGACTGGTGGGTGCGTTTGCTGTGTGTGGAAGAAGGCTAGAAGAAGGATTGTGGGGAAGCAAGCACATACATTAACCATTAGGAGGCTAATGCAGTCCTTCTTAAACATTGTGGGGCTTAAGAAGAGAAACCTTGAATGCAACAAAGCCTTACCTTACGCTCATCAAAATGAAAGCGGAGGAGACGGGCGGAAAGGGGAGCACGTACGTACTATCATACGAACGTGAAGGAAGACGAGGGAGGAAGCGAGAGCACATACACTTGATAAAGATAGGAGAGTGTAGAGAGGGAGGAGGGGATGGTCCCAATGATGAAGTTGTTGTCTAGTAGCCTGGTTGGGGGCGAGGGGAGAGGGGGGTGAAAGGAGTGGGGGGAGGAAGAAGAGAAAAAGAAAACAGTGAGTGTAGAGAGGGAGGAGGGGATGGTCCCAGTGAGGAAGTTGTTGTCTAGTAGACTGGATGGGGGCGAGGGGAGAGGGGAGAGGGGAGAGGGGAGAGGGGAGAGGGGAGAGGGGGGTTAAGGAGGTAGGTGGACGGAGTGGGGGGGAGAAGAAAAGAAGGAGAAGCGGAAACAATGAGGAATTTGTTGTCCAGTAGACTGGTTGGGGGCGAGGGGAGAGGGGAGAGGGGGTTGGGCGGAGTGGGGGGGTTAAGGAAGAAGGTGGTTCGAAGGAAATGGAGAGGAGGGGATGTTCCCAATGAGGAAGTTGTTGTCTAGTAGCCTGGATGGGGGCGAGGGGAGAGGGGAGTGGGGGGTGGACGGAGTGGGGGGGAGTAGAAAAGAAGGAGTAGCGGAAACAGTGAGAGAGTTGTTGTCTAGTAGACTGGTTGGGGGCGAGGGGAGACGGGGGTGGGCGGAGTGGGGGAGGGGAGAAAGGGAGAAGCGGAAAGGGTGGGTGAGAGAATTGTTGTCTAGTAGACTGGTTGGGGGCGAGGCGAGGGGAGACGGGGGTGGGCGGGGTGGAGGTTGATGGGGAAAGGGGGGAGGGGGGTGGGCGGAGTGGGGGGGAGAAGAAAAGAAGGGGGAGAAGCGGAAACAGTGAGTGAGAGAGTTGCAGACAGGTTGGGGGAGAGGGGGTTTAAGGAGGTAGCTGGGAAGCGGGTGGCGGAAGAGGGCAGAAGAAAAGAAGGAGGAGAAACGGAAAGAGAACTGCTGTCAAGCAAACTGGTTGGGGGAGAGGGGGTTTAAGGACGCAAAGGTGGAATGAGAGGAGGGGGAGGGCACAGGAGCATACAGCACAGCAAGGGACTCAAGAGTGGAGTGAGCGAAGAGAGGGAAGGGGGGAAGTGAAGGCACACAGCACAAGACGGCTCACAGCAGAGGTGACTTTTGAGTCGACTCAAAAGTCACCTCTTTGAAGGCACACAGCACAAGACGGCTCACAGCAGAGCAAGGGGCGCCAGGGCGGAGTGGAGAAGTAGGAGAGGGGGAGGTGTAAGGGGGGAGGGGACAAGAGGGCTCACAACACGGCAAGGGACTCGGCGGAGTAGCCAGAGGGTAAGGAGCCGGATGGGGCATTAGAGGCAGCAGTAGATGCAAGAGATGGGCAAAGGCGGAGAGTGGAGCGAAAGGGGAGGGCACGGGAGCATACAGGACGGCTAGAATCTCAAGGGTAGAGTAGTTAGAGAGGGGGATGGGGACAAGACGGCTCAAAGCACGCCAAGCAACTCAAAAGCGGAATATTCAGAGGGTATAAAGCCAGATAGGGAATTGGGGGCAGCACTTGATGCGCGTTGGAGAGTGGAGTGGAGCAGACGAGGGGGAGGGGGACAAGACGGCTCACAGCACGCCAAGGAACTCCTCCCTTGAGCCAAAGAGATAAGCAAAGTTGGAGAGTGGAGCAGAGGGGGAGGGCACAGGAGCCTACATGACGCCTAGAAACTCAAGGGCGGAGTATTCAGAGGGAATGGAGCCGGATAGCTGGTTGCGGGAGAGAATCCTGTCAATCGCATGGGTATGGGGCGCGGGAGATGGGGGGGGGGGGGGAGATGGGGGTGGCGAGATGGGGGGGGAGATGGGGGGGGAAGATGGGGGGGGGGGGGGGAGATGGGGGGGGGAGATGGGGGGGGAGGATGGGGGAGGGGGGGATGGTGGGGGGGGAGATGGGGCGTGGGGCATGCGATGTGGGGTTGTAGGTTGTGGGGCACTGGACATTGGACATGGGAGGTTGGCATAGGAAGGGGTTGGCATGGGTTTGTGAAGGTACCGAGAAGCAGGGTGATTGTTTTGCATAGTTACAGAACGTGCACACGAGGTATCAAGGGAGGTAAAAGTGCTGATACGAACATTGCAGGGTTCTCTTGAAAGTTCTCAGGAACTGCGTGCTGCTTGAAAAGCACAGGGAATCGAGGGTGGTGGTACCGTGGTGTGGTGGGGGTGCTGGGGTATGCAGGGAAAGGTACGAGCATTGCAGGGTGTTTTTGAAAGTTCTCAAAAGCAGGGCGCCAGAAACTCACAGGGAATCGAGGGTTGAGGTGGTGGGGGTGCTGGGGTATGCAGGGAGATATACGAGTGTTGCAGGGTGGTTTTGAGATTTCTCTAGAGCAGGGCGTCAGAAACGCACAGGGAATCGAGGGTGGTGAGAGTGCTGAGACCCGCAGGGAGCGATCCGGATAGCTTGTTGTTGTTGGCACGACTGTTAGAGAGAGGGGGGAAGGGGCCAAGGGGAGTGGATGGGAAAAAGGGGGGACAGGGGCAGTGAGGGAGTATGGGCATTGGAGAGAAGGGAAGGGGGAGTGGAGAGGGAGGAGGGAGATTGGAGTGGGGAGGGGGGACAAGGGCAGGGGTGGAGGAGAGAAAGAGCAGGGATGGAGGGCAGTTGGAATGACGGGATGGAAGAGGGAGAGACGACGTGGTGAGAAGAAAGTACGTCCCTCCCAAACCACATTCAAGAAATGATTCAAAGTGACGTCAAAAAGGCCAGGGTGGGGGTGAAGCAAGGCAGGAAAGGGATGAAAGTGAAATGCGGGGCACTCACACGTAGACGAGAGACACAAGGGCTGAGAACGACGCTGGTATTGACCCGGAGATGGTGTTGTTGTCAACGAGTCTGCTTATAACGAGACAGCATACGAGAGAAAGTTCAGAGGAAGGAAGGAGATTAGAAGCACGAGGGTGTATTAGGGATGAGCAAAGAACCGAACAGGTTTTGTTTTTCAGCTTAAATTGTTCGCCCGAACGTGTTCGAGGTTCGCCCGAACACGCCTTCATAGGCGAACGCCGAACACCCTTTTTTGGGGAAGTCGTTCGGCGAACCGAACAGTGTTCGGTTCGCCAAAGGGCCATGTTCGTGCAAGGGCGAACGCGAACATGTTCGCGTTCGCCCTTTGCTCAAGTCTAGGGTGTATGGGTGATTGTCAAAGGAGAGGAGAAGTATAGACCCTTGCATGAAGAGAGATCACATTAGAGGAATCACCGAATGCGCATTAGAGGGAGGGGGAAATATGGCATGAAGGAGGGTGTGGTGTGGGGCGGAGATTGCAATTGCAAGGCATTCAGTGATTTTGAGAGGGCATCAAATTGAGATGCCTGGGAAAGGACGAGGCATACAGGTTACGCAGATTGGTGAGCGTGCTGAGAGCAGAAGGCAGCGAGCTGGAGAGAGAGTTGTTGCTGAGGTAACTGGAAGGGGAGGAGGAGGAGGGAGAGGGAATAATGGGAGAAATTGGGGAAATGAGAAACATGGACTAGTTGTGATTCATTCCAAGAAAAAAAGAAAGAAAGAAAGAAAGAAAAAACAGGTTGGGCAGAAAGCAGCAGAGGAGGGACTCCCAGGGGAAAAACACAATGGACGTGGAATAGAGAAGGGAACTGAGTAACTGCACACTCACTCACTTCAACGCTCACTTTCACTCACTCACTCACTCACTCACATGGCCTCCAGTGCAGTGAGGGTGCTGTACTGAGAGGGGATGGAACCTGAGAGCTTGTTTTGACGAACATCGCTGTAAGGAGAAGTACAAGGAAGGGGGATGGAGGGGAGGGAGAATGAGCTTTCGAGGTGTCCCCAAAAATTGCAAGGAGAACAAAGCAGGAGGGAGGGGGGAAGACAGCGGGGAAAGGCTTTTGAGGCGCCCCCAAAGTTGCAACAAGAAGACAGCAAGGGAGGGGGGAAGGGGGGGGGGGGGTGGGTAAGTGGATCTTTAAGGTGCCTTCAAAGAAGTTAGTGAGAGCAAAGCAGGGGGGGGGGGGAGGGAGGAGAGCGAGAAAACCTCTTACAAAGAGTACAGGAAGCAAGCTCACATCGAAACGAGCCGTCGGAGGGCAGAAAGAGAGGCGGGAAGTGACCCTGTTAGAAGGTTGTTGGGGACGGAGCTGGGAGGGGAGGAAGAGGGAACGGATGAGATGAAGACGAGGCAGGAATGAGCGGGAACATGTACGGAGATTGATCTGGGGGGCGGAGGGAAGAAAGAGAGGCAGGAAGTGACCCCGTTATAAGGTTGTTGGGGACGGAGCTGGGAGGGGAGGA